ACCAACATCTGGTGAAAATTTCATGTCATTAGCACCTCTAGTAATATATTTACTGAGAAAAATGGTGACGTGTTCAATACTTATTTTACCCGCTGTAGATAGTATTTATTTTTTACAAAAAACAGCTGGGAGGAAAACAAGCAAAAATGAAATAAAACAACTTTCTACTTCTTGCCTTTTTTTATAAGGAGTAGAAAGTACAGATAATTTTGTGAAAATGTAAGAAGTAAAAAGTAGGCTGAAAAATAATTACTCAAGTAAAGTACAAATACCCAAAAATTCTATTTGTACTTAGTTACTTTACAACTCCGCCCAGAACAAACCTCACCCGGGGGGTCGGAGCATCTCCGAGGTTTAGAAAAATGAAGATTATCCCCTCAAATAAATCATTTGAGAAAATTATACCTTTTAGCAAAGTAAAGAAAAGAGAACATGCAGGCAAAACAAAAAATTAAATAAATAATGAACTTGTTGCTGTTTTAACCTCCCACAGACATTGGGCCCTGGAGGAGGAATATGTTGAATTAAATAAAAAATAGTTGTTATCATGTTTGTTCTGCAGCGTTGAAGTGAGATTCTTTGACCTGTGTGGTCCTCACAGCGTGCTGTGCTGCCACCTATCTGCCTCCTACAGGAAGGATTTATCGTCTGTGATTTTCTGCTGGATGTGGTCAAATAAGACAGTCTTCTTCTCACTGCTGCAGATTTTAACATCCATGTCTGCTGTCCTGAAAAAACAAAACAAAACAATGACTCTGAATCTTGTTCACTTTCTATCAGGCCCCACTCAGGACTGTGGACACTCTGGTTTCATGGTTTACCTGTTTTTAACCTGGAACTGTGTGACTCGGTGTTTTCTGATTTGTTTTATTTGAGTTTTCTTTTAATGCTCTAAACTTTGTTTAGCCTAAACAAATCTTTTAATTTACAAAAAAACAAATATGTTCTGTAACATTTCCTCAGTTGAGGCAGGTCATACTGTGTTTGTGCTGTTGGAAGATGTTTTTATTTCCTCTGTGTGTCGATGCGGTCCATCCAGACCCAGCTCAGTGTGTCTGGGCTCCAGCCAGCAGGGTGTTAGTATCAAAGCTGATCAGGGTCCAGATCAGGAAACTTCAGACTCAGTTTTAATTCGACCTGCTGCTCTGCTCCTGAAACGGACCCAGAGATCACAGAAACAACGCTGTCCAGATAGGACAACTTTACAGGTAAGACCGGCTCCAAGGTCCGAGTGAACTACCAGCCTGTAAAGATCCTGGATTTGTTTGAAAAACAGGCTTAGTTCTAGTTGTAGTTAGTGTACTGTAGTTGGTTTATAGTTAGTAGTTAGTGTACAGTAGTTGTACAGTAGTTAGTGTACAGTAGTTGGTGTACAGTAGTGTACAGTAGTTGGTTTACAGTAGTGTACAGTAGTTAGTGTACAGTAGTGTACAGTAGTTGGTTTACAGTAGTGTACAGTAGTTAGTGTACAGTAGTGTACAGTAGTTAGTGTACAGTAGTGTACAGTAGTTGGTTTACAGTAGTTAGTGT